CCCCCCCGTTTAGAAAGCTCCAGGAAACAGCCAAGATCAGCAGAACAGTCGGAGCAAACACGGCGTCGAGCCTTGACCTGAGGTGAGAAACAGCCGGCCAGAGTCAACATGTTAACACTGAAGCTTTGTCCCCGAGAGGGTGCTGACACCCCCCCCCCCCACACACACACACACACACACTCCTGGGTTACAGAAAATAACGACACTAGTAGAAAATACGGTGTTGCCCGTCATATTTCCTTCTTGAAATTACGCACTCTTTAGGTTAAGTAGTTGCAAACTGCAGGATTTCATCCAGTGTTTCCAGAAAGTGCTGCTTCCTGTTTGATCAACCTCCTGCTCCACACGTGGAGCTCCATCAGAGCCGGGATTAACAGTCTCGTGCCGCCTTTTTTTTTTTTTTTTTATCAATTTCACGCTGCAGAACAAACATTCACTAATTGACTAATCACGATATTCACTGGAAAGGAGGCATACATTTTAAAGTGGAACGCAGGAGAGCAGGATTTGTAAATAGTTCTGATAAAACTGGTGCACGTCCTCCCCTGCTGGTGGACCAAAGGCTCAGCAGATATTCTGTTTTGTTTTCCTTTAGATGATTAATAATCAAATCTGGTGTCTCTTAACACAATCTATGACTTGTTTTCACTGCGAGCCTTTTGTATCGTTTATTTTTTCCTGCAATGGAACCACAAAGAGAAATAAAATATATTTGAACTACCTGGACTCTGCTCAGTCGTGTGGAAGGGGTGTGGAGTTTGGACCACTGCTATTCATTCATTACGTTTCTAATTACGGACAGAACATTTAGATGTGCAGTGAAAAACCTGTTTGGTTCATTTTTCTCTTGTTAAGTGTCATAAAGGCAAACCAGTTTGATTATTAGATCAAATAATGTGTAAAACGTGTCAGAAACATTGTGTACCTGTTAGGATGACCTCATTCAGGTGCAGTTCCACCACAGAACACATGAGGGCGCTAAAGGACAGAAATTACATTTTAATTTTTTTTATTTGGTCTCAGCAGACCTCCTGGAGCCAGAGCTGCTAAACCTGAAGGTCCAGGAGAACTCTGCAGAGTAAAGAGACCAGGTTTGGTGTTTAAAACTGGGGTTCTGCACGAGTGTCTGTATTAAAGTTTAAGTTATTTTTTGTGCAACAACCACAGTTTAAGTGTATTTTAGGCACTTCTTTAAAAAAAAAAAACTCATTGCACAAGCTGAAATTTTAAACAGTTGTGGCAAATAATCACAATTACATAGTTCTAAATTTAGAAAAATATGTCAAATAAGACAAAGTAGCTTATTTAGTTCTAAAATGATTAATCTTTAAAGTGTGGAGGTTTTTACAACAATGTGACCTTAATGTTGAGGAATAAATCTGAGCACAAGAGTTTACTTTAAAACATGCTTTTGGTAAAGAGACGAAGAAGCATTTAGATCTTGCTCTCTACGGCACAGGTGTCCAAAGTGTGGCCCGAGGGCCATTTGCGGCCCTTGGAGTGATTTTGTGCGGCCCACAACTGCAGTGGTACCATTTTGACCAGCAGGCTTAAAGAGGTCGATGCAGACTTTCTGTAAATTAGTTGGTAATCTTTTTTAAATAAAATGTTTATGTTTAACATCAAAACAGATGAAAAACAATCTTCTCAAAATGACCAATATGAAGCAAAATACAAACTATCACTTTATGGTACAAAGCACCTCAAAACTTTACTGATCTCTACCAGAAAGGAGATTTTTTGGACAATGATTCATACAAATTAGCTAAATGTTGCAGTTGATAAAATAATCAAGATGGAAACTGGACATTTTTAATGAATATAACGTGGTATCATCTACATATGAGATGATCAATTTGATCAAACCTTCTAGGAATCTTTTGTAGCGACTGATTAACATCTCAAAAGCTGTGCTCGAGTGTCTGACCACTGAGATCCTGGAACTAGCAGGAAACACAGCTCATGACAGCAAAAGGACAGGATCGTCCCTCGGCACCTACAGTTGGCTGTCCGCAGCGACGAGGAGCTCGGCGGACTGCTGGGAGGAGTGGCCATCACTCTGGGAGGAGTTCTGCCCAGCATTCGGGCGGTCCTACAGCCCGGGGGAACCGAGAGGCCAGCCGAGTCTGGGGGGACGGATCAGACGGCATCTGCAGCCAGTTTCTTAGGATCCACTGTGGGATGGACCTTTACAAGAGATCCTTCCTGTCTACAGCCATCAGTATCTATAACATCTCTTAATGAAATGAGGATAACAAATTACAACAACAAATAATTTCCCTCTGGGATTAATAAAGTATTTTTGAATTGAATTGAATTGAGAGCTTGATGATTTTCAGAACTTCTATCAGTCTTTTGGGACGTCCATGGTCCAAACTGCTGATCGACCCCTTTTAAAGGACACTTACTCAAATTATACTTTTGTTGCTGAGAACAAACCACAACGAACTTTCCAAACACATGAAAACAAACATAAGTCAAATCCTTTTTAATAAAAAATATAAGCTTAGTGTTTGAGGCTTTAAATGTTTTGGATCTACAACAATTTAAAACTCTTTCTCCACCAAAATGAATAAACTTTTGTCCTTTCTCCAAAATATTTAAATTCATATTTTTGTGGTCCACGAGTTTTGGCATCTGGACAGTTTTGGCCCACTTATGAAGAATGTTTGGACACCCCTGCTGTACGGTATAAAAGTTGTGCTAAATTTTTTATTAATCTTGAATAAAGTACTATTAGGAAGACATTCTACTTCATTCAGCTCTACATGCAGCGATGCAAAAACAAAAACACGCCGACAGAAGTTACCAAAGAGCTGCCAAAAAGTCTTTATTCAGTTATAACCAGATGCTGCAGAAACGTCTTCACATGAACCTCTCTGCAGAAAGTCGAAATCTTTGAACCGACGACAGCACCAGAACACAAACATTTCATTTACAAGAGATGGCAGATTATTTTTATTTTTTACACACGAAGCACGGAGGAAAAACAAAATATTACAGATAACAGTCAGATTCTTTGAACGAAACCTTCATATATTGATAGAATCCATTTGATAATATTGTAAAGAATACAAGAAAACCTTGAGGTGCAATAGAATATACATTTTCAGTGAAAGAACAGCCGTGTGTGTATGTGTGTGTGTGT